TGAGGCTTTGCCAGCCATGGTTCAGGTGTGCTACCTTTACCTCCAGGCATGCCGGCTGACGTTGCGCGAGGGTTCTGGTTGGCTCATTTTCGTAGCCGTCGAAGAAATTTGCTCTTTCGTGGGGTTCCTAGCCGTGAACTCTAGCCGGCAGGAGGAGTGGTGAGAACTCCGACGGCCAGACCATCTGAGCACATCGAAAACAAGGACTTTGTTGTGGTGCTTGGCTCGATCCGGAACCAGTGCTTTTGGGTACCACGCACGCCAGTGCAGAGACACAGCTGGCGAAGGCAGCGTTAACCATTGGGTTTGTGCTCCTTCTTCTCTTCGTGTTCTTCAAGCTTTGGAGGCATTGGTACAGACCGTGGAATGTTCAGGGGCTCGTGCAGCACCATTGCCAGGCGACGTGCCGCGCGAGTGCTGGCTCCTGGCGACATGCAGTTGTGTTGCCGACGGGCTTGTGAGGTATGACTAGGTTCATCAACACGTTCTTTGTTTGACAACTTCGGGGTCCAGGTCCAGCCTCTCTGAGTGGATGGGTGCAGATGAGGACGACGACGTCATCATCGCTCCGCCCCAAGAAGAGCATAGCCGGCTGCTTGATTGAGCGATGCAAGTCGAGGGTAGCTGAACTCGTCTTCAAAGCGATTTGCGCCAGGGAAGACAGAGGTGTTGTCGCATCATGGGGCTTGTTGCTGCTGTAGCCTTGCTCAAGCCCGGCAGGCAGCTAGCAAAGCAACATAGAACATGTTAGAGAGCCAGAGGGTCAACAGTCAGGTGCCGCCGGCATCAGTTTTCAAGTGTTGTCAGCATCGCATGAAGCATCGGTTGCCTAGCAAGCAGCAGAATGCCGTGGAAGTGATGTGAAAGGGGTGTTCGGCTTGCATGTCTGTGGATGCTGAACGTGCAGCCGACGACATTGCGTGCCTTGGCACTGCATGGTAAATTCTGATTGCCTGCTCGTGGCTGTGCTGTCCACTGCCAAAATCAATGAAACCTCCAACCCGCCAACCGACCAAGACATGTCTTGTGCAGGATCAGCATTGCTTTTGGCGCGTGCTCGTGTTGTCCTTCATCCGGCTCCACTGCCCCTTCCCCAACTCCCTTTTCGAGCCGAGATGGGTTTTTGGAAGGGGCCATCTTGCGGGGTGGGGCGGAGTTACATGTAGATGACACCGGCTCGCTCGCCCTGAGACGCTTTCCGCATTGTGGGCAGGGCTCCTGCGTGATGTGTCCTGTTCCTATGTGGGGCTTTCATGCTTTTGCCAGCCATCCGGAGGGACTCAGCTCGAACATAGCTTGAGTCCTCTATCAAACCGCTTCTCACAAGCATGAGCTTTTGCTTTGGTATGCGGTGAGCTTGGTCCTTCATTGTATGGCAACACATGGACATGGTGCGTCGGATCATTGTGTGCTCCTGAACGGTTTCGTGATGCGAGAATCTGTTTTGCTTGCATAGTTATCCTAACATCTTTGGGGAAGCTTGGGGTGTGGAGCTTTGTTTTCGACCATAGGAGCCACCATCAGATTCAGGTGCCGGTATGTGTTGACGACAACAAATGCAACATTACAAGTAAGTCTTCGGCACACACACGAAACTACTCCACCGATGACTGTGTGCGAGTAGCCGCTGACTGTTGTTTTGGACGTTGGTCATTGGCTTGCAGGCTTCTCCTTCGGGTGCTGTCTTCAGTCAACAGCATCATGACGACGACCACGACGACGACTACCACTAGTTTGACTAGTATCGCGACTGCTTGTACTACTATTATGGCTGTTACCACTGCATTACCAGTCCAGTGCCACTGCTACCTCGACGACGACCATTACCTTTTACGACTACTTTGCTAGCAATGCTGCTGCCTCCCACCTGTGCTCCTACTCCTATTCCCTATTCCTGCGATTCCTACTTGAAAAACATTTTGCCGCGACGCAAGCATGCACAAGTTCGAATTCACCAACGTGTGCAACTCCAGTTCCTTCATAGCCAGGACAATAGAAACTTGCGCACTAGCGACCTTACAATTTTCGAGCCGCTGACACCGGACCGTCAAGCGTAACAGGGTTAGTATTTTGTAGTCTTAGACCTGAACAACCACCAAACGCGATGGTACTACTGATGGTGGTGGTGGTGGTGGTGGTAGAAGTAGTAGCAACCTAGAATCAGGTACAGAAAAAGGAGACAGAAGAGGAAAACTAACGACCCACACCAGAAACAGTCCTGAGGTCTGAACCGCAAGAACGAAGACATGGAGAGAGAGTAGGGCAGCTATCCGTGCTCATGTGTCTTCAGGAAGCCCGCGAAGCTGCGGCCGCGACAGAGACTCGGCTATTAAAAACTGCACATCTCATATGATGCACCTATTCCTTCTGTCGCTTCGCACGTGCGACAACCCAGGTGGTGCGTCAGATTCAGCTGTGTGTTCTTCAATGTTCTCAGTGGCGTCGTCAATGGCTACGACATTTGCATCACCACTGGCATCCTGGATTCTGTTGACAGAGATCTTCAACTTTGCGACACAGGTGGTGCAGTTGGCACATGCTTTCTTAAGGAGCCGAGCACGACGGATACCGCCTAGGGCCATGGGGTGCGAAGGCATGTGCAGGCTTTTTAGGGTTTGGGGCCTGTAGGATTGCAGCATTCTCTGATTGCAGGAGGCCGTTATGTCCGTCGCAAGCATTGGAGGTCTTGCAGCTAGGCTCTGTGGCCCCACAATTGCAGATAGATATGGTCGTTCAGCAGCGCTTTTCCTGGCTGACGTGCTGATCTTGGCTTCCGTCGCAATGCAGTCCACCACGAGAGCTGTTCCGACCTTCTTCCTCGCCCGCTTTTTGATTGGTGCTGGAATGGGCTTAGCCTTCGTGGTGACTCCAACATACCTTTGCGAGATTGCTCCACGAACACAGCGAGGCCTCTTTGTTTGCTTGCATGAAGTTGCCGTGTGTGTGGGGTGTCTGCTTGGCCTTCATGTGTCGTCACGAGACACCGCGGAGTGGCAATGGCATCATGTCATTGCTTTCGCAGCGCTTCCTGCTGCCGTGCAGCTTGTTTTTGTCTGTGTCCTCCCAGAGAGCCCAAGGCGGGGTCGGGTCTGGGATTCATCGCTCCACGGATTTGAGGGGCAGGGCTTTGCTGAATTCGGGTTTCTGCTTGCTTCCTTTACAGAGTAGAGAGGCATGTCAATGGAACTGCGTAGCTTATTTTGCCCGTCTTCCGAGGATCAAGTTCCCTAAACCTTGGGTTTTGGGGCTGCGGCTTTTGAGCCCAAGGTGGTTCGCATTGCGAGGAGATGTGTGCGGGTTGGACCGTGCTTCTGCTTTGTTGGGCCTGGAAGCAGAGACAGCAGAACTCCGAAAACTAGTGCAGACAGGAGGGGTAGCAGACCTTTCCAGCACAGGGGGGGGCAGTTGCTGCAGACGCAACTTGTCAAACTGGCAGAAGCATCGGCGGCCTTTGATGATTGCACTGGGTCTAGCAGGATGCAACTCGGCGACAGGGACTTTTGCAATCCAGACCTACGCATACGACTTACTTCGAGTCTGTGGCGTGCAGGAGCCCAGTGAATTGCTGCCAGTCATAGGATGGATGAAGCTGATCGGAGCTTTACTTGCAATGTTCACCTCGGACAGCAAGTTGCTGGGGAGGAGACGGCTTGTTATCGGAGGAAGCTTCTTCTGTACAATATGCGATGTGTTACTGGCATTGCACCTGGCTTTGCCAACATTTCTGACATCTGAGCTGGCTGCTTCTTGTGTTTTCTTTCGGATACTGTCCTGGAACGCGGGTTATGGTGGCGTGCAGTTCGTGGCAGTATCCGAAATCCTACCCAGTGAGGTCCGATCTTCTTTCATGGGCCAGAGCCAAGTTGCGGCCAGCGTCATTGATATCCTGATCTTCCAGCTCTTCGAAACTTTGCTGTTTATGGACAAAGTCGCGACGTTCGTGATATTCGCCGCGATAAACTTTGGGTCCTGCCTTTTCGCTTTTCGATGTCTGCCGGACTTTCGTGGGATGTCGCTCGAGGAGATCCACGCTGGATCTTCGAGGTCCTACGGAGTCTTAGAGGAGGAGGAGTCCAAGGAACCCCAGGCTAGAGTGATTGGAGCAATCGAGCCCCGCATGTGACAGCTTGAGCTTGGGTCAGTTATCTTACATGGATAGCCAGGCGCTGGAGGGAATAGCATAGCTTTCATCCAAGCTGTTACGCTGCTGAACGAAAGTTTTCTGTATTCGAGCTCCGCTCGGAGTTGCCAGTTTTCTGTTTGGCTCACAAAGCCTAACCACTTGCACGGCTCAAGAAGTCATCGGCAACGTAACATCCCCGGCTGAAATGCAAAAGGGATCGTGCAAGACTTCTTGCTTTCGGGGAAGTCGACTTCGGGAATCGAGGGCGACCTTGGAAGCTCTGAGGCCGGACCCCTTTCACGATCCCGTGGTCGCAAACTTATGGAGACAGCGTTGTGGCATCTTTCCAGCAGCTCCTTTTAGTCAGGTCGAGGTCCTCGGCCGTTGTCTGCACCTTGTGAATCAGCAGATTATTTCGAGTCCTGACAGCAAGATCGCCGAACCGTTGGCAATCACACAAACTCAGACTTAGCATACTTAGAAGTGTGCGAGGGGAAGACTCGGAGCAGTCCTGAGACTTTCTGAGGATATGTCAACACCGCGCTTGGAGGCCAATGGCATGCGTGGTTGGCGGTCGTGCCTGTTTGCTGAGTGAGTCGCTAGGCTCATGGTTTTGGCCGCCCTCGCTGACTGAGCCTGAGCGAAAGAGCACAGGGCGACTGCTCACGTGCATGTCGGCCTCCTTTGCGCAGTGTGATGCGCTTTGCCGCTGCCCTTCCCATAGTTGCTGCAAGAGTGCTGTGCGATGGCACGAAACTGGTGCAAATCTTGATGTTGGCTCGAAGGTAGTTAGGTCCTTCCACCTTGTGAAGACATACCACTGGCAGGCTGAAGCACGTGCAACATGCTGAGATGCCGCTTTCTGTCCTTTGCAGGCATGGCTCTCCGGCTTTTCCTCCTGGCCACCTCGGCAGTTGCGACACCGGAACCTGTAGGCCAGCGTCCCCGGCCCTAGCATCTCCGGCCCAAGACGGCTGTTCCCAGGTCCTGTTTGCTCCGGCTCCATCGAACTTCAGGGCCACGGCTCCTTGGAAGAAAGGCCTGAGCTCTGGCAGCTGTCACTCTGAAGACCCCGGAGCTAAGGTCCCATTCAAACAGCCAACGCCCACTGGAATGTGCCAGGAGAATTGGCCGGAGACGTGGAAGTCAACGATGGAGTTATTGACGTATTCATGAAGGGCCGAACGTACTTCTCAGAGACTTGCTTGCCCACTCAGTTCAGCAACAGCCACTATGCCAAGCTCTATTTGCTTGGAAAGAGCTTGCGATGGACCACTGACATCTCACAGACAGACTGTGGGTGCAATGCAGCGTTTTACCTCGGTTCACTTCACCAAAACTCCGACATCTCAAAATGCGAAGACCATTACTGCGATGCCAACGACGTTTGTGGTGTGCGCTGTACGGAAATAGACTTGCAAGAGGCTAACAAGTATGCTTTCCACTCTGTGTTGCATCTGCCAGACGACAATTCCGGCATGGGACTAGGGTACGGTGGTGGAGGTTTAGATTGGAGCTGGCACCGAGACTGGACCAAAGAAGAGTATGGTCCGGGGGCCAACTGCATTGACACCAACTATCCCTTTGAGGTCGAAGTCGGGTTTCCTGTTGGGAGCGATGGTCAACTTGTGGCGATAACAACCCGGCTGGCCCAACCTGGAAGTCCATGTGAGCTGACTGCACAGGTCTTGACGGATTCCTACACTTTCAAGGGACGGAAGAGCACGAATGAGCTTACCCAAGCCCTCCATGAAGGAATGACGCCCATCGTCAGCTATTGGAGTGCCGAGGACATGCAGTGGATGAATGGCGTAGGTGCAGATGGGTTGGGCCCGTGTGCCGAAGACGTCCCGGAGCAGTGCGGAGCATCCGTCCAATTCTATGCAGCTTGGTAGCAGGCTTCGTTTGAGACTATGCATTTTTTATTCTTCAGTTGTCAGTTGTAACTTGTTGTGTGCATAGGATGCTGTTTGCCTAAGCTTGTTAATGTTTCGTTTGTGGTGCAGCGGCAGCTAAGGGCTTCGCAATGGAAAGATCCTCGGACAAAAGGAGCCCTCTGCGCTTCTCGTTCTTTGAACGCTTGTCGTAACAGTCTGTTCCAGCCAAGGTTTGGAAGAAAGGCTCATCTGACGAAGCCATTTGATTGTCGAGGATTAATTCGTCGGGTAACAGCATGATGAGGTGATCCGATGTGTTGTTTGAAACTTAGACTCCCAGAAGTGCTTTTTAAGCAGGCCACTTCACAGGGTCAATCTCCACATTCATGTGAGCCCGGACAGTGCAATGACTTTTGCCTCGAAGGCCAATGCGCCTAAATCTAGATGAAGGTTAGTGTCAGGTGTGTGAAGAGGCATACTTACATGGCTGCACTATGCACGGTTAGGTCCCCAGTCCCAGTAACAAGCTGAGGTTGCCGGAGCCCTTTGTCAAAAAGCGATTCTGGGCAGGCTTGTGTGGGCGGTGTCAGGTCAGCGGGTGCCTTGTTCAAGACAGTAGCCGCCTCTTATGCCACAAGTTTCGGCCTCTTTGTAAGTAAGGTCAGTCCTTACAATGCAGTGATGTGAGCACTATCACCTGCTTATCACCCCTTCCACCCCCCCGCCGGGTGTGAAGAAGCAGCCTTCGTCGGCAGAGACTCTAGACTCTCCAGCTTCAGCGCAGCCTCAACCGACGACTTCCCGAGTAGCTTCAGCCTGACACAGTAAATTCATTCTGCAAGCCTTTGGCAGCCGTGTTCGCCATGCGCCGCGACATGCGGCGATACTACACGGAACCTGCACCGCTCAAGCTCGTGAAGCAGCTTGGACAGGAAACCGGTGCCCAGTTCCTGAATTCCGTGCGCCGCTCCAAGCCTGAAAGTTGAGGCCTTCGCTGTCGCGCAGCGTCTCCGGGCAAGTTCCGCTGGTACCACCCGACACCGAGGGGGTGAGGCAACAGCTCTTGACAGACGGCCCGTCCACGACGCTCAGGGATGTGGCGAAAGGCATTATCAGCAGGCTCCTGAAAAACCCAGAGCTGGAAGACGATGCTTGCAATAAATTATGCAGCAGACGGCTGAATGTAAGAATTACATGCTCCTCGGAGCTGCCTCCAGATTTTGAACTTCCGAGAGCGAGCTAGGGCCTAGGGCCCCCGATCTGAGGAAGAAGAGTTGCTTTTCTTGAGGGACTGTGTCGGGGCGAGCGTGGAGACTCTGTCCATGCCCTGTGCACTACTGCAGCGTGATACCGGCAACTCAGCCAAGTTACTTTAGGCAGTGTTCGCCACACACGCTCCCCGTGCATTGGAAATGCCCTCCTTTCGAGCAGGTTCTTTTTAGTCTTGCTCTTCGAAGGTCTTCCGGTCCCACACCCTGCAGGGATTTTGTGAAGGGACTGTAGCAACGGTATCCCGAACGACCTAGCAGGCGATTTTGTCAGAGAAGCGAGGGTCTGTCAAAATCCATTTCGGGCATGGCAGCCGAACAATTCAACAGCTGTTAGAGAACACTTCAAAGCTCGAAGAGGCGCCGCGAGCTACTGTACTCCAAGTGCTCTGTATTTGCCGCGACGGTTCAGCAGGAGGCTAATTATCTTGCATATGGGTGAGTTTGTCGGTTTGTCGATGTCTTTCCAAATCAAGCGTGGCCAGACGAGCTCAGATGTACGATCATTTGACACCCTGCCCAAGTGCCAAGGCGATGGAACTCCAGGCGTCCCACTCTTGCTGAACAAGACAGCCTTTTCATGTTTTTTCCAGTTGGCCAAGTTACCGAATGTTCAACTTTAGGGAGAGTGTTGACTTCGTGGGGTCCTTGCAGCTGCCAGGTGGGTATGCTGCTTGACTTGAAAAAACAGCGTGTGCATGCTGGCCACGATCTCTTGGCATTTCGGTGAGCATCAGTCCGGATTCCCGAAGTAGATCAAAGATGAGCTAAGGACTACCTGTGTTCCATCTATGCCAAGCAGGCCGTGATACCCTGGAGTTGAATTCAAGCGTGCAGTACAGTTGCAGCAGTCAGGTGCAGCCAAGCTCGTCTTGTCCCGGAACACCTGCCAGCCGGTCTAGAACGCCTTCCGTGGCTTTCCGACCACCAAATTGGGACTCGATAGACTCGAAGATGTTGACGGCCTTCGCATCCCGCTCTCAACTTCAGCTTTCCAGTTTGTGCGGGCTTCGAAGTTTAACGTGTCACTGCACTGTTTCTGTAGTTTCTTCAGCTGTTGGCTGTCGACTTTGCTGTAGCTGTTTATTATTTATGGTAGCCATCGACGAAGCTCAGGACCATTGGGACTTTGACAGTGTCTCGGCGCAACGTAGGCTTGGTTACGTTGCTCTTCGTTCGAACTCTAAGTGTACAGCGAGGGCTGAAGTTGCATCTATGTCGCTGACCAAGGCTTTGAACTGTCAGAAGCAACCAACGGACGTCCGCTGCATTTTGCCGGCTGGAGGGTGCTTGACGGCTTCTTTTCAGATGGGTCCAGCACTGAGCTTGATACTAGGTCGTGCTGAACCGGTGTGCACGGAGACCTCTTCCAAGGATGGAAATCGTCCTGGACATGGAGAAGACCAGTCGCTTCTTGGAAGCTGCCGAGGACCCTCCAGCTTCTGCTTTTGTTTTGTCAAGAGTGCAGCTTGTTTAGTGAGGAGTGCAGCTTTGACTTACGCACGCCATGAGGAGATGTATCAAAGACCTGATAAAGTACTTTATCACAACAATGTGCATGCAGCAGACGCGTTTGGCTTGCAGTTCAGCGTGCTCTTGCATATGGCAAGCTTCGTGATACACTGCTGCGTGTGCAAGAGTGATTGGATCGCTTCTGAAAATTGTTTGAGGTGACACAAGGCGTGCATGCCTTGCTCGTGCAATTTGGTTTCGCAGCTTTCTTCGATCAGCTCAGCATCCTGGCACTTCTCCTGGGCGCTGTGGTGCACGACATGGGCCGCTTGGATTTGCCCGGACTTACTCGTGCGGGCATGGGCCATGGGCTTCAGTTTTGATTGTGTGCTCTGGCTCCAAACTTTCAATCGCTTGAGGCCATGATGGGCGAACGAATTCTTATCATGTGAATGTTGGGGACGACATAGCCTTGACATGGAACGCCTCTTGTCCGGCACAGCTTTCGGCTTCTACGAAAAATGGTTGTTTTAGGAGCTTGCGACAGATATCTTTGAGCGTACTGCCGCCGAAGTTTCGTCCACACCGGCCTGAGGCGTCTTTCGCTAGAGAGTGATGAGCGGCTTGTTTCAGGGAGGGCTTCGCCCACCCTGCTTGTGGATTGGCCCGCCTTCCCCGTGAGCTGCAGAAGGACAGACCGTACGACCCTTCGCAGCGTCCTGGAACCTGCTTACAGCATCAATCTTTAGAAGATAGAATTTCGCAAGGGGGACTCTGAGACCCTGTCAAGTTGTAAAGTTGTCGTCTTTTCTCACTCTCGGTGAAGCGGGGCCAGGGTTCGCAAATCGACAAGTTTCTGAATCAGGGCGAATCATCTTCTGTCAGTGGCGCAGGCATCGCTGACTGCAAACTGAAGTCCGTCTCAATGATTGTTTTCTAGAAAGTCCTGTATCACCGCCAATTCCCGCCTCATGATTGTGGATAGGCAGAACAAGCCGTAAGTCATACTTGATGTAACCAGATCTGGAATCGTGTCTGGCGAGCCGAATGCACAGAGTCCCTGCAAGATGTTGGGGTGCAACCAAGGATATTAGCGTTCTGGAGAACATGCATATCTCGAAGACGTTCAAGCTCATGGTCAGTGTTCACTCCCGAGTTGCTTCAACAAAGTGGCCACCGTTCAGGCACTGCAACTACATTTTTGCGCGACCACTGCCAGGATCCATCTTCAAATATATTGGCAGCTTAGCCGATGTGGCCGTGGCATGCGGGTCCAGGCACCCTGCGAAGTCCGGTGGAAGCACCGGTTGTAAGCTCAGGATGGGTTGAAGCATGATCACCGCACTCGCCTTCGGAAAGAGATGGTGGAGGCCAGCCTTCATTTCGAGGAAGCAGAACGCAGACAGGCTTCAGTCACTGGCAGATCAGTGTGCAGGGTAGGGTAGGGGTGGTAGGTAGGGTAGGTACGGTAGGTAGGCCAGTTAGGGTCGGTACGCAGGCTGTTAGCATAGCCTTTGATTCCGGCAACTCCAAAGGGCGAGACTCATCATTGCATGAGAGTTTGTGGCCCAGGTGGTTCTCGGTACAGATATGTCATCTCATTTCGGGAATGTGGTGACTTGCTTGCACGGAGACCGGCGCCAGTGCAGGGGGTCACACTCTCCCTTTATGAGCTAGGCTGACTTCAAGACGTTGGTCGAGAAGCTTGGGAACGACACGCAGGAGTGGCACGAAGAGAAAGCCATGCACATCGGCAAAGAAGAAATGCTCGAACATTCGCGACGTGTTGTATCTAAACCAACGACTGCGTTTGCTTCCGCTCCTGCAGCACCGTTCGTGCTTGGATGCTCAGTGCGGGGAGCGGGGGGAGGGGGGCTTCCGGCCTAAGGTCTGCAATGCGGGTGATGGTCCTCCATGCGATAGATATCTCTAATCCGGCCAAGATCTTGCCGCTTTCGGACAAGTGGTCAGCATCTCCGTCGCACAAGTTTGTCAGGGACAGAGACGACCAGTTAGGGGTATTAGGAGCCGAGCACACCATACCAGATTAGAAAAAATGCAGCCGATGTCTGCTGGAGCTCCTTCAGTCGCTAGCATTGATCAATCGTGGCGTTGGGATGGGTGCAGCTGCGTCCTTCCGAGGATCTGCTGCGACAAGAGTTCTTTCTGCAAGGGGACCAGGCCTAGAGTTGCGAGTGCATAGCATGGCAAGGCACGCACATGGCATGGCATGGCAACGAAAGACGGAAAGCTCTCGAGCCTGGCAGGAAAAGGAGCTTGGCCTGCCCGTGTCTCCTCTCTGCGATCGTGACACCGTGCGGTTCGCAAGCTCGCAGGCACTGGTTGAGCTTTATCTGTGTCGATGCTGCGTCTCACTTTCTCCCAGTAACACTCCCGAAGTAGCTGCGGATCAGGGAGTCAGGAAGTGTGAGTCCGAAAAGCAGCAAGCACTAACTCAGAAGGCCTTCGATATGACCTGGATGCAAAATTTCTTCAGGTTTCGGATGAGAGAATGCAGTGTATCTTGGGTTCGCATGGGTGTTCCTTGAATCAAGCCTTTTTATTTCTTATTTTGATCCATTGCTGTCCGACTTTGCTCCTGGCATGCTTTTTTGGACTTGCTCTACCCGGCTTGAGCCCCCGAATCACCCCCACAACAGCGCCACAGCCAGTTTCCGCACCAGCCGAAGCCTTGGCTGATTCCAAGCCGAGGTCAGGCCTTCGCACTTTCGCATAGCAACCCTCGACAACCGAGGGTTTCGCGGTTTCGCCTCCCAAACGACGCGTTCAGTCACAACTTTGCTCTCGATAGTTCCAAGATTTGGCGGGTTTGTGGTTGACACCTTGTTGCAGGCACGACTGTCAGTTGAAGACGTGGCTTGAGTCGGATTCCCCCGACTGGATCATTCTTTCTAGATTCTGGAGTGCGGCGTGTGCTCCGCTGTAAGGAATAAATAGGCGCGGCTCTCCCCGCCGTGATAAATCTCGAGTTGAAGTGAAGGTCAAGAAGCAAATCCAAGTTTCCCTTGGGGAAATCGCGGACAGTTCAGGGCAAACTGGCATACACGTCAGGCGTCTTCCAGCCCGGATTGGACATTCGCCTGTTCACTCACTTTCGCGTCCCATCGTACTGGCATCGTTGGCTACTGCCCACTGACCCTCACGTCGTCGACATCTCCGCCTGGATTCCAATCTCCAAGACCTCGCAAACCGC